ATTAGCATGGATTTATGCCACCGTGTGCCAGAATAATCGATGGTTATTTTTAAGTGCCATTTTATGTTACCACTGGACTACCACTGGCATTACTATTATAAAAGCTTTTAATATATTTTTAACTAGCGACTACGTTCTAACGTTTAGTATAGGTTTCTCAGATCTCAAAAAGTATCCTAATCCTAAATATTGACCAGGATAACCAGCTATCATCTTACCAAATTAAAATCCCTCCAGTGGTTTTTCCGTGATGCGGTCACAGACAGACAGGCAAAAATTCTAAAAACTATAGATTCGGCCTCTGTATCGATAATAATTATTAATGATTATTTCAATAAGATTTTCTAAAAAATATTTAATGTACAGATTCGATCAGTTAGAATTTTATTATATATACCTATAGATGATAAGTCCGATGACCTATGAATTTATAGCGGTATTGTTTACAAAATAAATTTTAAATTTTGTTTCGCTTTAATGATAGAGTTGTTTGATGTTTGCAGAAATAAAGAATATTTCTTAGTAAACAAATTAATGTCGCTCAAAACTTTTAGGTCGTACGTCGATCTTTAAATAGTTATGTTAGTATAAAATATGTGTGATTGAATTTAATTTAATATCTAGTTCCACGGTGAGCTACGAGGTTGTGTTATAGATACCAGATAGTTGACACACTACACATACATAACTTTAAATGCATACATATTATAAATAGTACCTGGGCCACCAAGCTTCGCTCGGAGTTTTTGGTTAAAAAGTACATATTTCTTTTTCTTAAAAAAAACTAAAAACTTGAATACATATTAAAAAAAAAAACAAAAGTACAAACTTTGTATGTGACCGAGATTCGAACCTGGACACCTGTGATTGTTGATCTTGCACGGGGGCCGCTTGACCACGATGCTTATTCCCGATCGTGCAAATTACCGACCATATTTTGCGTGGAATAGCAAAAGAAAACTGCATGAAAACTGGACCTACCCCACATACATAGCGGCGAACCCGACCGAAGCGAGGGTAAATCGCTGTATAACATAAAGCCAAAGAGTTGTTTTTTGTTTTAAAAGGTATACTTTCCAGGTGGTCCCATATAAATTTTTATCGAAATCGGGTGAGCGGTTTTTTAAAAAATCGACAATAAATATATTTTTTTTAAATAAATTGCTTAATCGAATATGTTACTAAAAAACTTTCTTCTTCTTACAAATTACCTGCTTATTACGTCTACACTAAAAATAGAAAAATAAAAACTTAAAAAAACCGACTTCCAGGCACTAAAGTGTAAGAAATAACTAAACGGGTGTTTTCATTTAGAATAGATACCTAATCAGATATTTTCGAAGTCGGTGCCAGCCGACAATATTTTAAGATATGAATATGATAGGTAAATAATACATATTATGTATTTTACATATCGAAATATATTAGATTTGCTTTGCATCGGTTGATCGATTTTTTATATTTTAGTGCTTGGGAGTCGGTTTTTTTTAAAGTTTTCTATAGCAACATTTTGACTTTTTGTCGAAAAAAACGCGTGTAGTGTAGTTACCGAATATCTCTTAGTTCAACCATACTCATATTAGAGTTTCAATTTTAGCCTATGTGTTATTCTCATTTGTACGCTATGTTACTGTAAAGTTTCATCAAAATCTGTTCGGTAGTTTTTACGTGAAAGAGTAACATACATACATCCATACATCCTAACAAGCTCGCGTTTATAATATTAGTGGGATAAGTACTACGAGAAACTCTGCGTGTTTGTTTATTACCTTTCACGCTTAAATCGCTGAACAGATTTTGATGAAATTTGCATCATGAGAACGGCTATCTTCCCCAACTTTACTTCATTACATGCAAGCGAAACCGCGGACAGTGATTAGCATCCATAATTTACATATTACTCAACAGTTTGACCCGAAAAATGCAAGCTAGCTATTTAAACATACCGTAGGCGTAAGAAACCACTGATACACCGCCCCAAATACTCGACACAACGTCTTTCATATGATGAATATTGTGCAGTATTTTCCACCTGCATCTTTTCATGGATATTTCAAAATTACGAAGTGTGTTTGCAAAATAATTTCTTTTTAAGCAAATTCATATATATTTTTTGAAACTATTATGATTAAAAAATAACTATTAATTCAATTAATTTTCTATTCAAATGTACGTTTTCTGTATGATACAATGCCTTTTGCCTAACCGATTTTGATAAACAGGTTAAATACGTCAAGGTCCGTCAAAAGAAGATCAATTTAGGATATAATAGTTACATTTAAAGTCATTTTCAGGGTTCCGACCCGATGGGTACCAATGGAATCCTATTACTAAGCCTTCGCTGACCAGCCCTATACAGCGGACGTCTGTCAGAGGGCTGTATATCATAAACTGTAATAGGTAAAGACTAGAGAGTTGAAATTTTCACAGAGTGTGTACCTATTTTTATTGCCGGTATAACAACAAATAATAAAAAACCAAAATGGCGAATTTTATAAAGGCTGCGATGCAAATTAAAAAATCCAATATGGCGAGTCCGACTCGCATTTGATTGATTTTATTAAGTTTTTTGTACTTTACCTACATATATGAACTCCTGCAGGAATTGTTAAAAAGGTCTACCTATACAATATAGTAGGTCAAAATAAAACATTTCAGGGCATTTTCCTTGTCTGTTTGTTTTCAACCGATTTTTTTTTGTTCAGTAGCTATTGAGGAGCTTTAGTGTTAACAATAAAAAAGTTTTTAAATTCATATACATAATGTGTTTTAATCAAATTTTCAACAACGATTACGGTCCAATTTCGACCACTGGACGAACTCTGCCATTTTAATATCATAAGACATAAGACATTTTAGATTTGGATTTCCTCCAAAAATCGTTTTCTTTATATAAATTATTATATTTTACATCTAAATAATAGATAACATTATTTTTTTCATTCTATTATGTAAATTAATGTCACTTTCCTATTGTTGCAGGTGTCAAAAGAGAAAAAATAAACTGTAGCGAGAACTTTTTTATAAGTATTTTTTTCTTTTGATTAAACAATAATGAAAAGAATTATACTTATAAATTATAAAATTCAGTGCGGGTAGTTATAAAATTTTGTCTGTGCGAAAGAGACAACGATATAGGGATAGTGGCTGAGGGAAAGAGAGAGATGTCGCTGGTAGCACCGAGGCGGGTCCAGCTCGACTGGGCCCATACTATACCATGGTAAGACTTGAAATATATTATATTATGTACATTAGGTACATATTTACGTCTAGAATTTTTAAGAAGAGAAGGTATTTATTTTTTATATTAGTCCCGCTGAGTTTCTTTCGCCAGTTCTTCTCAGGTCTGAGGCTTCTTCTTTCCAAACTGGTAGTAGACTCGTGACGTTCTGTAAAAAACTGTAATAAATTAATTATGATTTTTTTAATTGAATTCATAGCATATAAATGCATGCTAAATAAACTAAAATATTAGAAAGTACACGATATAGTAACAGGCAAAGTCTTGTGACTTTATTTACATTGAATAGTAGAATAGGCAATAGCAAGTTCTTTCCAGGCGTTTGTACTATATATGTGACTTTAAAACTAATATAATGGACCAGCGATTTAAGCTTGCTTCGCTCGGGTGTTGTAGTGTTCTTTTATCTGTGTACTAAATTTCATCAAAATTCATCTAACTATTGCAGCGCGAAGGAGTAACAAACAAACAAAAAAACAAACACACATCTTTGGAATTTTAACAGTAGTATCGTTAATATTATTTAACCATACAATTATACTATACTAGTACTGATGCCCCATCATATACGAAGAAATTTGAAAGCGCCAATTCGGGCTATTTTTGTTTGTTTTAATAGATAATAGATGTCGTTGACTTCAATAACAATTCGATACATGTAACGTCATCTATTGACATTTATTTGAACTAATTTTTCCTTGTTTGAGATGAGACCCCATGATTTAACTAAATAGTTATACTGACTTTGATATCATCGTAAGAGTAAAAAGAGCGATAAATATGGAGTTTTTGTATATATAAGTAGCGACTCACCCTCGCTTCACTCGGGTTGGTCTAAGGAACCCTAATTCTTTTTCTAAAATAAAAGTAGCCTATGTTACTCCCTATAACATCAGCTATCTTCCAGTGAAAGTCCCGTCAAAATCAGTCCAGCCGTTTCAGAGATTATCCGGGACAGACAGATTAAAATAAAAAAAGGTGTTTATCTTATAAGTACCGTATATAATTTCATATGCATTTAGTAAAAAGCTGTTATTTTGACTTTACGAACAGATACTTCAATTTTATTTATCTGTATAGATTTATAAATATTTTATATAAAATTACTGAGCCCAAGACGGTGTTTTGTCAAAAAAAACTATTTTTGTACGATAACATGGATAACTCTGGAAAAACCTTTAACCTAACCAAAAAACTGATAAAGATACATCAAAACAATTTAGTAGAAAATTGTAGGTTTAAAAAGGCCGCGATTGCATGTGTTTATCTCCTAAGGTACGTTCACAATAATATTTTTATCTATATAAAAATTACGTAGAACACCTGAGCGAATCGAGGGTAAGTCGACAAGTTGACATCTGAAGGACTGCCATTTACAAAAAAAATAATATAATAGTGCTTCTAAAAAACTTGTGGTAGCCCAGTTGTAAAGCGCTTGCTTGGGTGACCGAATGAAACGGGTTCAAATCCCGGGTCTCGCAAGTCTGATATTTTCACGTGTGAATCATTTCCAACATGATAATCACTTGTCTTACGGTGAAGAAATCATCTTGAGGTAACCTGAATATAATAATAAATAAATAATAATAAATATGTTGGGACATTAATACACATCACCATCTAGTTCCATGGTGAGCTACGAGGCTTGTGTTATGGATACCAGATAGTTGATACACTACACATATATAACTTTAAATACATACATATTATAAATATAAACACCCATGACTGGAGTACAAACATTCGTGCTCATCACACAATGAATGCCCCCAGCGGGACTCGAACCCGCGACCGTTGGCACAGCAAGAACGGTCACTACACACTGAGCCAAACGTGTCGTCAAACCTGAATGTCTGAGAGAACCTAGCAAGTTTTCGAAACACATGTAAAATCTGCCAACCTGCACTTGGCCAGCGTGGTGGACTATAGTCAGATCCCCCTTATAGTAAAAAAGGCCAGTGCCCAGCTGTGGGATATAAAAAATAGCCGAATACATATGCTTAAAAAATAATTACAGAATTATAAACAAATCTTACCAATTACAATTTCTTTTATTTATAAAATAAAACAGCCTCTATTATGGTTGTAATTGAATCTAGTGTCAAAAGAGGTGCCACTGCAACCACAGGAATGTGGCGGTTGGTATATTTTATAATTATTTAATTTTATAAACACATTTATTTATTATTATTTACGAGTATATTATCTACTTCGTTCATTCATCACTTATATTCTTAAAAAAATAAAGAATCATGATTTTGATCATCAAACTAGCAGGCTTTTTGGTTCCCGGACGTTTCGTATGCTTTACAGCAATTATAACCAAAAATCAAAATAAATCCGCGAAAAAATCCGAAAAGATAGCTTTATTTAAAATATGAAATATTCGCGTAAACCTAAGAAAGTATTATCTGGGCTTCTATGAATAAATCAGAAAGTGGAGCAGATAATGTTATTATTATGTAATATAATGTAATTTTCAAAATGTGTTTATTTAGCTTTACTTACAATGGAAATCAGTAAAAACTGGGAATGTTTCAGTTATGATAAGTTTTATATTTAGGTACCTAATTTAGTTTTTATAATGAATTAATTAAGTTTGTTTTATTTTATAACATGACCGTTTGGCAAAAATGTTAGAAGTTTCAAACATAATGAATTAAAAGAAATTTTATTATATAGGGTTAATTTACATTTGAAGAACAAAAAAGAGCAAACAAAACGATAAAAGTGTAGAAGAAATCTCCACAGAGGTCGTTGCCCTCACTGCGGCTAACTTCAGAGCGTGCAAAGAAAAAACCCGTCCCGTCAGCTGAGCGACCGCGCTTCACTTCACTCCGTCAAAAAGACCTGTCATGGCTCCGCGATCGATCTTCGTTCCCTGCTAAAACTACGTGAAAATGCGAAAAATATGTCGCACCACCCGATGAAACCCGTCAGACGCGTCGCCACGCTGTTTTTAATGGCGAAACAATAAAATAAGAGAAAATAGTTCGCTTGTTCTGTGTTTTTTTAGTGAGTTTTCATCGTATCTAATTTTATTCGGACCGACCTATCTCGTTTTTCTGGGTGAGTACTGCATTTTTCCCACGCGTTTGAAGCGTTCAAGTAATTTTTAGATTAGCAATGTAAATTTATAAAATTATCGTTTTGTTTTTCAAATATAAAATCTTAGTGAATTGTTAAAAATCGATTATTTGTGGGTGGGATGGCAAGAAATACGCCTCTCTCGTTTCCGTATAACCCGGCCAGATAAGAGAGTGATGTAACACCGTATTACCGCATAGCGTCATAGTGCAGACAATTCGGTCGGGTTGCTATCGATATCTCTTTCTAGCTTTAATACTGATATATATTTTTTTAAATTTTCTCTTGATTATTAACATTTTCTTCGGTATTATTGATTTGCAAGACATTTTATAAACAAATATTGATCATTTTTAAATTGTATGCATTATTAAAAGCTTTAATTTGTTCTAATGTAATTCATAAAGATAATAATTGAGTCTATGCTTTTTAATTTTTTCTAACAATTAGGTAAATTTGTGTAAGTACATTATATTTTAAATAAAGTTAAAAAATCTTTATTAAAATCTAACTAATCCATAGATCTAACATCTGTATTATTAAAGCAATTAACTTTCTTTAAATTGATATCGTATTTTTCGTAACTAATGAAATTTTCTTTATAATTAGTTCTACCTGTGCCTACTTACATACATAAAAATTAAAAAAAATATGTAAATCTTATATTTTTGCAAAACTTTTAACTTTTTAATGTCACACTCTAATCTAAGACAATATGGTTTTTTAATTTTAAATATATAATAAATTCTAATCAAAACCTTATTTCTGAAATATGGAAAAATAACTGCTCATTACACAGCTTGTAGTGTATTACACTCTCTGTAGCACTGCCCACACACTTATATTTGGCAATCATGGAACTATTTACTTTGAACAATATTAAATCCAGCATTTGGAAAAAAAGATATTTTAAAATGACTTAAATTCATTAAAATTATTAATTTGTGATATTTTGAATAATTTTAAATTGTATGATCTGAAGTCAGTCAGAAGAGACGGATATAAATTAATAAATAATGTATATTTGATGTAAACAGTTTCTTATTAAAAATACTCACTTTCTCTTTTACTGAAAGTTAAGGCTAGCAAGTTAGAAAATTATAATTGAATAAATAATTTATTTTATGACAGTAACGTGCCTGCTCCATACTTATAAAGGGGTTGGCAGAATAGGGAGTGGCAAGCAGTCCTTTTTTAATGTGTCATACACACCCAGAAAACTTTAAAATACTATGTGATAGTGTACATAATTTCACTCATTAATTTTTAATGTAATTTTATCATGTTAAGTTATAATATGTTTATATGTGAGTTAATATTTTTCTTTATTGTAAGTTGTGTACTATGTATATCCTTTGTTATATCACTATACTACTTTATTTCTTAATTTTTTAAATATTTTCTTAAGTTATAACTAAATCATCTATAAATATTTAATTCTTGTGTTTCTTCTTGTGGGAGTATTTTAAATGAGGAGCTCAAGGTGTGTTTCTTCTCGGCAAATGAAAGTGAAACTTGACTATGTTTTGAATCGGACTATTATCTATGCAATAATAAACTTGAATTAATGTAATCTAAATATATTAGTCTCTTCGTATATTCAAATAAAAACTCAAAAAATATATGCGGAAGGCATATTTTGTTCATAGTGTTTTCTGTGTCACTTACTGTACACATACTGTTTGTAATTCTAATATGTTGTGTTGCTGGGTAATTGTAATCTCGTGAACTTGTAATATACTTGATAATTATATAGTGTTTATATGTTTCTAATATTTTTTTACATAAATAGTTCATTTGGTGCTATTCTATATCCCCATAAAGAAGTGGTTCAAAGGTATATGGCAAGGTATTTATTGCAAAAATACACTGAGGGTTGCTACAATAGAAAATAAATAATTTAATTAAATTTTTTAATTATAACCATCTTTTCGGTTTTTTTCGCGGATTTATCTTGAGTTTTGGTTTTATTTAAAACGTTACGTTTAATGTTTACGATACATTTTAACGTTTGGTATATATTTCTCAGAAATGTAAAAAGTATACTATATGTTGACCCAGATAACCAGCTATCATCATACCAAATTTCATCAAAATCTGTCCAGTGGTCTCCTCGTAATGCGTTGCCAGACCGACAGACAAAAATATTCTAAAAACTATATAACTACTAATAGATTCTGTCTCTGTATCGATAATGAAATATTCACATATTATGATGATATACTTAAAAAAAAACCATTTTTGTTTAGAAAAGTGCGAAATGGATATTTCTGGGTACAACAAGTTCTATTTGATAGAATAAAATTAATCTTATCCATCCTGTAATCTAGAATATTATCTGTACAATGAAAAAAGTTTCATCAGAATTTGTTCATCAACTCAACGAAATAGATATACCACGCGTGGTTTGCACTTGGGTTCAAAAAGAAACTTCATTATTTCAAAGATGATTCAATTTAACTTCTTTCAGTGACAAATTTTTAAACACTCATTTGAGAACTTACTTCCTCCTGGTTAAGGAATTCTTGTGCAAATAAATGTGCAAGTTTGTGTGTGTGTATGTATGTTTGTTTGTTACTTCTCATGAAACGGCTGGACGGATTTGAATGAACTTTAGTATTCAGATAGATTATAACCTGGAGTAACACATAGGCTTCTGTTAGGCACCTAGCGTATCCAAGCGAAGCGGTGGTAATTCGCCAGTTTTACCATAAAAAATAGTACATATTTTAAGGTGTTAATTACCTAGTAAAGTCAAAAGAAAATACCAAGCAAGTTGAAATGTTTAAACGGCAAGCGATGCCTAGACTAAAATCATTTATAATGAATAATACTTTTTTAGATATACGCGAATATTTGACATTTTAAAGGTATCTTTTTGGATTTTTTTCGCGAATTTATTTGGATTTTTGTTTCCCGACGTTTCGAATGCTTTACAGCAATCATGGTGACGGGAGAGACTTAAGGTTTAAGATGTCTCAAAAGCATCGAGAAAGAAAAGGTATTTTTATTTAAAATCATTTAATTAACTGTAGAAATACTAAAAATAAATCGGGTCACCGAAGAATATTAGAAGACGGGTTAAGCTTAAGGGCACTCGGCTATTGATAAATGGCATTTCGCACGGACAATTAGTTAGAATGGTGTCAAGGGAGTTGTATCTGATAAGCCATGACGGTCTTGGGCCAGGACCTTTTGTTGGAAAAGTTTACGAGTTTGATAATGCATTTGTCATTACTCCTTTCACACAGTAAGTTTAATGATTTGGGAAGATTTTCTGTGCTGACATTGTATATGGGCTAGGGAGTGATGTAGGGTTCATATTTATATCTCAAAATCACTGTTTCGTTGATCCTGGGTTCGATTTTCGGGTAGAGTCTAAATAGTTCTATTCTAAACTAAATAGAGAGTGCACTTGCTTGTGCACTATAAATATGTCCTGCGAAGTTGACTAGTCTTAGTAAAATTACCCACTTTGGCCAAAATCGATCAGGACGACATTATATCCCGCAATGATAAGTATTTCCCGATATTTCGTGGGATATAGCCAAGATATGACTAGATTGTCTTTTCGTATCACCACGAATACAGCAGATTCATTCCCAGGTAAGTACGATAAATTTGCTGCGTCTAGAATTTAAATGTTTGTACTGCTTTTCGAACCGATATTAAAAAATCGCCTTTACTAATATCAAAAGTGTCGTGTGCTACAACCTTTATTTCTCATTGATCGATCTGTCTTCATTCCGAGTTTTAAGTAAATCTGAATAATTATGTAGTCACAAAGGACGGACATCCAAGAACTTTTATTCATCAAACGATAAGTGGGAGGTGAGTCATGTCCTATCTTTTACCGAGTTTCTCGCCGGCTCTTCTCAGCAGGATTGCTTTCCGAGTCGGTGGTAGCTTCCTCACGGACTGTCTACACTGACGCTCTTTAAATAATATTGAAGATTCAAAAATGCTTGTAATAAGATCTCCGTCAGCCAAGGTCTTCATTAGAGCATCATCTCAGCTTTTATGAGGGATATTCCGCACCTACATGTTTCTTTCTATAAACTTGTACGTTTTTTTTTTAAATAACTTCGTCATCCTTGTTGAAATTGTAAATGCAAAAGTTTTAAACAAAACCAAGAAATGGTCCATCCTTTTTTGATGTACTTAAAAAAGTATTCGTACTTTACTCTTAGCGTTAGGTTCTAATTGCTCAATTGTTTAGTTTTTTTTTGGTTGATAACTTTTAGTAGAGGCTTAAGTAGAGGCAGTGGTAGCCCAGTGGTAACGCGCTCTCTTGGGAAACCGAGTGAAGCGGGTTCAAATCCGGGTCTCGCACCTCTGATATTTTCTTGTGCGAATCATTTTCAACATGATTACTACTTGTCTTACGGTGAAGGAAAACATCGTAAAAAAACATGCCTTTGAGAATTTAACAAGTTTTCTAAAGACATGTGATGGTCCGCCAACCCGCACTTGGCCAGCGTGGTGGACTAATCCCCCTCGTATTGGAAGGAGGGCCCACGCCCAGCAGTGGGACGACAAAAAGGGCTGAATACATAATACTTTAGACTTATGTTAATATATGACTTTTTAAAACTATCTTTTCGCATTTTCATTTTGTTGTGTTGTGTTTGTTTCGAATGTTTCGAAATGTTTGGTTTCCGCAAAAGTACAAAAGAAAACCGTGACAAAATCGAGAAAATATCGTTTCATATAAAACACCCCTATAGTTTGAACGCTTCAAATATCAATCATTTCAAAGTAAATTATCGTTATTATGAAGTATATACGAGTATGTTGTATGGACGAGTATACCTTACCCTTTGCTCCGCGCCTACGCTCCGACCATTTAATTACATTTTACTTTGCCATGACGTCGAGAAGAAACATTTATCAACTCGTACAGTTGAGTGCTGAGTAAACCTATCGTACCCAGCTTAGTTGCAATATTAGTTATCTATGTTCTCGTATCGTAAATACTAGGT